GAGGGGACAGGAGCGGGAGCCAGCTGAAGAGACTCTGTGTGTGTGTGTGTGTGTGTGTGTGTGTGTGTGTGTGTGTGTGTGTGTGTGTGTAGCTGCCCCTGGTCCAGGTCAGCACCCCTCTCACTCAGATCCTACAGCAGCCCCTGAATTAGGCTCCCTGCCTCCAGCTCTGCCTCCCCCTAGCCATCCATCTGAAAAGGGTGGGAGAGAACTTTCCAGCCCAGAGCACATCCCACGGCTCAGAGATGAACCTCATTCTCTCACAGAGGATCTGGGACCTTTCTGTTGGGCTTGCCCAGGTCCATCCCGTGCCTCCAAGTAACAGTGTTTTTCATGGTTCCCCAAACACCCCGATATCTCAGGGGAACTGTCTTCCTTTCTCAGTGCCCAGTTCTAATAGCACGCCCTCCCCAAGTCTTTCTTTAATTCTACACTCAGAGCTGACCACTCTTTTCACTGGAGTCTTTGCACCACTCTGTTCAATTTCCACTGCAGAGCCCCCTAGTTGGGGAGCAGTCTACTGGATATCTAGTATTTCCCCAATTGTGGCCAGAAACAACAGAAATGTTAAGTGTTCCTCAAGAACAGAGATTGCTAATTTGATTCTCTATGCCCGACATGTACGTGAGGGTCTAGAACACTGGGTTCTCCATGAAAAGTTTGCTGTGCTTTATAAAGTTCAAATCTCCGTGGAAATCTTAAATGTCCACAAAATGAAAACAAATTTTGTTATGACAGCTAAAACTAAAGCCCACACATTTTGGGGTGATCTGGTTTACGAGCAAGCACTCTGAGAACCATTTCTGCACTAGCAGAAGAGTAAGGCTGACCTTTGGGTCTCATTCTAACAGATTTTCAAGAGCATGACTTTTGTAGTAAGGATGACTCATCCTTAATTGGGACATGAGCATGACCACGCTCTTCTTGAGTCTGGTTTCTTCACAGGAATATGGCAGAACCGGCTGCCAAACATGGACTGTCCTGTAAAGGCTGCAGGGACAGCGGAGAGTCACCTCCTTTTCCCTTTGCCTAAGGCAGTGTGGTTTTCAAACTGTATTCAGTGGAACACCCCAAGAGGCCATTGCTAAGGCTAAAAGAGCATGAGCCCCAATTAAAATAGTTTACTCATTTATATATGAAATGCTTCAACAAAGATTTCAACCTGAAACACGAGTTTGCAGCTTAAAAAAAGGCTGGAAAGTCACCAGCCTAAAGAATGCAACCGCACCCTTCCCCAGGAAGGAGGGAGGCTTACAGGCAGGAGGGCTCCCATGGAAGCCACGCCTGGTGGCGGCCCCAGGTGTGAGCAAACCACTTTTTCAGACTCCAAGGGAGGCCAGAGGGATGAAGCCTGGCTTCATTCTCTTTAAGGAGGGCCTCTGTCCACCCCAGAGAACACAAATCCTTGACTGCTGAGCACATAGGAAAAAGGCCCAGCAGCGGGACTGAAGCAGGCGGGGCAGGCCATCAGCCACCTTCTCCGGCGAACCTGGCTAACATCTTCCCAGGCAAAGCATGGCGTCTCTTTTTGAAGTCTGGACCCTTGCTGCCGCCCCCACGGCCCGCCCAGAAGCTATCGCTGTTGTCTGCGGGGATGACTTCAACCTTCCACAGCGAGTCTGCCTCGTTAATGAGTGTGGGAGGCCAAGGCAGTGTGGCCGTCAGCCTGACCCCACAACGAACTCAGTGCTCACCCCTGCCTCCCACGAACGTGCTGGGAGATGCCAGACCTGAAGGGGAAAGCATGGATAAGCCGGTGAGACCTACCTCTCCTGACGAGCCCGCTGTCTGCCTGGTAATGGCTGGTTGGGAAGGCTGAGGAAGGCATCCCTCACATCAAATGCCCACGGGAGGCGAAGGCAGCAACATGTCCACTGGCTGTCACCTGCCAGTCTGGTGACAGCCAGTCTCACTCATTCTCCTCGGCTGGCCTAATGCCCTCTGGGTGGTGACACAGCGGCTCTGCGACTAGGACCTCACTGCCCTGAACTACGGATAATCACCACAGTGCCAATCACACATTAGGTCCACATTCTGACCAAGGGCTCGAAGTTCACAATTCGCCTTGTTTCTAAAGTGTGGGTGCCGAAGAGAGGGCTGGTGGTCAGAACTGCACGCCCAGCTCCGAGGGACACGAGGGGGGGGCGACACGGCGCGTGCTGGCACAAGACCTTCTGCTTGAGAACACTCTCCCATCTCCACTGGATGAAACCCCGCCTCAAAGACCGGTGGGGTAGGCATCAGAAAGACCGGAGTTCAAATCTTGGCAGCGACGTGTGCTGGGCTTGGTAGCTTTGGGCAAACCAACTGACCTCCTGGCTTCTTAAATATTACCCCTCAAAATCTGAATAATGGAACTCACTTTGGAGTGAGCTGACTGAATGAGAGGACACGTAACAGACTTTGCATACACTCACTCGGTCTTTGCATTCCCCAACAGCAGCACCGATGCTGTGCAGCCCGTCCCTGGGATTCCCTCCACGTTTTCTCCGGGTGCTTTCTGCTAACACTCATCCGACAGTGCCCTCTATTCCGCATTCCTATTTCCACGGCCAGCTCTGTGAATAGGGGGCTGACTGTTAACTGCCCACCGTGATGGACACCATGCCTGGAGCACTCCATTGGTATTAGCTGATGGGAAGAACAAAGGCCTCCCTTTTCCCAAGAATAATGTGGTAGGGAGGAAGGAAAGGAACCGCAAGAAGATGGAGGTGGTTCTTGGAGCTGAAACGCTGAGCCGGTTGTTACCCTACTGCCTCTGTTTCCACCTCCTCCCTGTGTCTGTCCCAAAGGAGAGTGGGCCAAGGCTGAAAGGAGGGGGAAAATCATCTTTTTTTTTTTTTTT